AAGGAGGAGAATATTGTTTCAGTTCATAGGAGAATATAGAAATTCATTATATCAGTCAATGTTTAAAACGTTGGATATTTGAAATATACTGAATGATAAACTGATATAGATCTTTATATACTTGAGGTTCAAATCTTTTCTTTAATAATAAAGTGTAAGTATCTAGCACAATGTTCTGATCATGTTGTTTTATTTTTCTAAATAGTTCTTCTCAAGCAAAAACGTAATTAGTACAGTGTAGAAAGAAGTGATCAATTGTTTCTAGGTGTTTACATGCACATAAGCCCACCTTTCTTGTTCTATCGTCTCTTGCTGCGATCGTACCCTAACGTCGAAAAATTAACTCTTATCTGATGAAAAATAATGTCCAAAGCTCTATCTATTCCTTTAGCTGATATAATGTGATTATCAACTACAAAATATCTTTTAATTTCAACACTAAATTGTTTAATTTTACATGTTTTACCTACTGAAAACGGAAGTGTTCCACTGTTTCGTTATTTGTCGAAAAAAAAACACATCTGAGATTTGTTAGTTTTTCTGAATATTTGTTTTGTTTTTGATTAATCATTTATCCTTGTATTATGGCTTTTATTGTACATAGGTTCAATATATTGAACTGGAAATTTAAGTGTTTGATACGTGATAATTCTATACATTAGTTTTAGTTGAACAATGTTAAATGTTTGTTTGTATGTTGATCACCCTAGAATATTCCTAACTTTTCCTTGACTTCATAAATGTAAGGCACTTAATACAATTAACAATGCTTTCTTTATATTACAGTTGATCGAAAACATTTATGTTATTTTTATTTATATGTACACAACAAGCACATAAGTGGAAATGCATTTGATTAAGGATGGTTGTACTAAATGTTCCTTTGAATTTTTTCATTAGATTTAATAATTTATCACATTTAGCCAAAACGAATTGCTGATAAATTTTTCAATCTAGGTTTTTTGTGAGAAAGACTCTGAAGTGCCTATGCTCTTTAGCTTTTTCCAGTAAAATATTATTTAAGAATATTTTACTGGAAAAAGCCAAAGCCTTAGAACTTCTCTGTCATTAGGCTTAGACTGTCAGAAATGAAGGTGAAATATTCCATTTTTGCCTATTTTGGAATAAAATCAAAAAAATTCATAACCCAGTCAAGATCGATCCAAATTATGACAGAATATTAAGATTTACTCTATTTTACTTCTTCCAAACGATTTTTACTTGAGAATGGTAAAAAACATTCTTGTACTTCGAAAGATGTCTAGAAAATCTTTTCAAAAAGCAAAGTATTTTCTGTTGATTTTAAAGCTTTTATTGAACTGTATAGTTCTGAGCATGCAAAGTAGAGTACATTTTGATATTCTAACATAATTTTGATCTATCTTGACTAGGTTATGAATTTTTTGATTTTATTCCAAAATAGGCAAAAATGAAATATTCCAGCTAATATACGTTTTTACTAGGTTTTTGAAACATTGTAAAAGGTTGCCACAAGATTTAACATAGTCGACAACCTATGTTTTCATTCATTTCTGACTGTCTAAACCTAACGACAGAGAAGTCCTAAGGCTTCGGGAAAAAGATCCGCAGCGCTCGAACGAGGCAAAATCAAATTTTTTTTGCTTAGATCTTATTTTGTAGGGGATACTTCAGACTCTCTATCTATGAAAAAAGAATGATAGATGACTATGTCGGTTTTTAGAAATCCGGGCTGATTTTCCAAAGATCTTGTAGAAAACCGATCCTCGGAATATTTTTGAAAGTCGATTTTACTTGTATAAATATAGCTTAAACTGTCATCTTTAGATTGCTGAAGACTGCAGGTTTCTATCATTTTTCTTTCGAAAGTTATTTAAAAAGTGTGTTTACTACTAGCCTTCGTATTGTTTATACGCTAAATATGTTCTGATTTCGCTAGTTTACATAAGTGACTAAATTCATTTGCCAATAACAAATATCTCGTTTTGCTTTCAAACGAGTCTTTTTTAGAATAGAATTAAAAATATAATTAATAGTAATTTAAACGTGAAAAAGAACAAAACGAAAATTATCCAATCAACGCATTTGTAGCTATATATTTTCAGTGTAAATGATGATTTTTTATCAATGTTACAATTTAGTGGAAATTTAATTATACCATGATCACAATTTTCGCACAAGAAATCGTCCATAATGGCTGTGTTAACAACTGGATATTATCGGTAAACACAAGATCTAAATAAGTATCTGGTTTTGAATGTTTATTTGGATATCTAGTAGATTCTCTCACAAGTTGATGAAAATTGTTATTTTCGGCAAATGAATATAGTTTATGTCCTAGTTAGTTAGTTTTGTAGCACACCATTTATTATTATGTCCATTAAAGTCTCCCATTATAACAATTCCGTCTTACTTCCCTTTTTTATTTAAGCTATCAACATTGTCTTTTAATTCTACTAAAAAAATCATCTAACGATTGAGAAGATCGAGAACAAATGGAAAAAAGAGTTTTTCTATAACCGGAGAGAATGGCACTAACAAATAAACATTCCGATTTTGAGTTATTAGTTGTTAAGAGTAAAGTTGACTGTACATGCTCTTTTACATATAAGATAGAGCTACCTTCTAAACTATCTCTGTCATTCTGATAACACTTATATCTAGGTATTGATATATCACTTAGTCGTTTAGCCAAGTCTCAACAATCCGATTTTTTTCTCTGATATATTCATAAAGGAGTTCGCACATTTATACATTTTTATTAGAATCACTGGATTCTGCAAACATGTTTCTTATATTGATAGATAAACCACGACATACTTCTTTCTTTGCTCCATCACGTTTAAATAGATTATTTTTGTTTTTTGATGTCATTATCCTGGATCAAACAACTTGGTCAAGACGTATGACTTCAGCATAACTAACATATCTATGATAGTAATAGAAAATGTTTCCATTTTTCTCAGATGGTCTCTGTATACATACAATTGATTATTGCTTTGGATGAAAAACATAGTGAAGTAGTGGAGTCGGAAATGAAGAGTAAAAGAAACGGATAGAATAAAATAAAGTGTAGTAGAAATGCATGATAAGATAAGAAAAATAAAAAAATGGCCATTTCCTTTTTTGCTCTTTGTTTTTAGCCTTCTCATTGTTTCCCTTTACAGTATAAATACGTCCATCTTTCGTATATATTTTTGTGCGCATTGTCTGAAAAAGTAAACATTATAAAAACCGATTTATGTGGCAATCAACTAATAAGAAGTTTTACAACAGCACTCGAACAGCACATCGATTAAAAAAACCATTTCTTAGCGATTCATTACTGCCAGATTGGTAATTAATCGTCGAAGACAATCTATTATAATGGCAGATAATATCAAGATGACTGAACACGAATACATACGAGAATTGAGTAGATTCAACATACAACAGATGTTAGATAAAATAAATAAAGTTCCTGATAGTTCTATTGACTTGAATAACTATCATGATCGTGTGGAGTGTTAGTGATCAACATAAAACTAGGAAGTAACGGGTATTCGATACGAATGGCACTATTTGTATTTTGCGTTTTTCTCTGTTAATTTTGATAGTTAAGACTTGAACTTTTTTCCAAAAGATAGCCCATTCAATTCTGTACAAAATCATATGAAAAGAGTTTCTGTAAAATACAATTGTAAAATCCTATGCAATCAACACAGACATGCCCTCGAAACGGCATATTTTCAAACTGATTGTTACGTTTTGTTACGTTTAACTGAATATGAACAGACTGAATATGCTATTTTGTAGCCCTAGAAAAGCTCTATACGAAAGGCGAGTCGCAATTGAAGAATTCTGATGTTTAAATTAGCATGAAGATTGCCTTCATTTTTCTTCTACCTTTTTGGTCTTTTTGAATTTACTGCTGAACTTGTTGGATCAAAACGTTATTCTTATGATCTTGTCGTTACCAATTTGAAGAAAAACGCTTCTTCTATCATCCAGAAAAGATCAAACAAGTGTAAAATAAAATTTCTACAATAGAGAGAGTGGGAGACTGAAACCTTCATTTAATCCAAGCAAGTTTCCAAGGAAAATGGGCATTAGCTCCCCTAAGTCGACCGACTTGTTTTGAGCGCTATGAGAAAGAACACGGTCGAAAACATAGAAAAACGTGCACCAGAGTGACTTGGCGTCTTCGTAATTAGACAGGGCACGATAATTAATTTTAGGAAAAACGACATTTGGAACGTTCTCTTCAGGTGCATACTAGGTGTTGGCTGCATTAGATATGACGATTGTACTTTACAGGACGATTGTACTTTCATATGATTTTGTACAGAATTGAATGGGCTATCTTTTCGAAAAAAGTTCAAGTCTCAACTATCAAAACTGACAGAGAAAAGCGCAACATACAAACAGTGCCATTCTTTACGGAACACCCGATAAATATAGCTCATTTAACAAAAACAATTCGTCGGTTTCATACAAATACTCGATAAAACTACGGCTTAAGTATTATTATTGTTTAATTAGTTTTTTTATGTGAAATGAATATTCGTATCATGTTTTTTCAGGAAAGTTTTCCGGTATTTTGATCAGTTTAATTGCAACAATGACAACAACAAGTAGCACCGTCATGTTTTATTCAGCAATAAAATAGATGACAAGTTTATTGGTCAGAGAAAAACAACAACAATATTATTGTCATAAAATCAAATTTATATAGCAACAATAAAATTGCTGTCAATTATTCTGTGATTGCTACTAATTTAATTATCGTCAATTTTATATATCACTGTGACAGAATACTAATATAAGTTATTTTAGAATGTTCTATTATGTTTATTGATTATAAAAAAATATTTCATTGTTTAAAATTTTTTGAAGTATTCGTATTGTATGATTATTTAAAGGAAAATATAATTTTCAAATTTTCAACACTTTTACGTATGCATCATTGACAAACTCTTTATGTCGTATATACACACTAAATAGGTGAGAAGAATTAATTATAAATTTATTTTATTTTATTATTATTGTGACAATGCTCTTAGATATACAGCTAGTACTCCTGACGCTAGACCACTCTTATGTGATAAACATCCATCCGCCATTTCTTGTTCAACTAATAATTGTCGTTTTTTAAATGATTTTGTGTCCACTGTCCATATTTCTGACATATCTGAAAAACATCCTGTTGGCTGTTGCCATTGAAGAATATCATTTAACCATTCTATTTTAAGAAAATCTTCATACCCTAATATTGAACATAAAAGAATTTGTTCTAAAAATAAATCTTGATTTCGACCTTGTTTTTTATTTGTCACTGCATCACGATAAATATTTGAACAAAATTTATCTTCTATATATTCTAAATGTTTGTTAGCTAATGCGGATGATTTACGATTATCCAGACAGCCAATACTTTTAGCAAGTATAAACCATAATAGCTAGAGCATTAACAACAATGATTAATTCAACCTTTATAATAGTAAAAAAATACTTTTTCTACCTGATGTGTTAGTTTATAATCTTGTCCATTATCAATTGTCATCATCTTCCAACATTGTTCATCGATCATACACTGTTTTGTATTTTTATCATTTGTTGTTCCTAATACTTCAGCAAAACAATCATCTGATGTATCTTCATCAAATGTTGAATCTAAATTATCTTGTCGAATTAAATGTTCACGTATTGGACGCTGTTTATATTCACATATAAACGGTTTCGATGCAACGGGTAAAAATCGTATATAATAGTCGAAAAAATTTTGTTTTATCGTTGATAATGATTCATTTGCAATTGAGTCTATTTTATCGGCTAATTTTTTAATGTGTAAATTTTGATCAGTATATTTTGATTTGAATTTTGTCAGATAATCATTTAGTTGTAATAATTGTCCTTGAGCCAAACGAAGACCATATATTCCATCAAGATTTATATCGCTCGCATGTTTTTCAAAAAACTCAATTAACACGCTTAAAGATTCTAGTGTTTTGTCAGCGTACTTATCTTTGATTTCTGCGGGTAAAATTAGACTTGAACCATTTGCAATTAAGCATAAGAGAAGAATTAATGAACATAACAACATGAACAATAGCTTCTAAAATAAACACAGAACATTGATTTTTAATATTTTACAGTTTCTAAAAATACTTTTATACACAATTTCTTCGCTATTACAAGTCAAATTTGACATCAACTTGTAGCCTATTTTATTCTATTTTCATTTCTTTTTTTAAATCTAACAGAGTTTGAATAGTACCGAATACTAAAACTTATTGTCCTACTTTTCAATTAAAAATGCCTTTAATGGAATCGAATAAGTACTAAAATTTATTGAGGACGTTACAAATGATATGGACTAAGAGATTCGAGCATTTCACTACAAAGAAAAAGATTTTCTTCTAAATGATGGTACTCAAAAAATAGTTTCGCCGTATACGATGATTATGAAAAAGTTTCTTCTTAAGGAAAAAAATAACACTAAGCCTTAAATACGTCATTATTTTTTCTCTTGTCAAGTTTATCGCCTATTGTGATATTGGCTATTTTTATCATTCGATCCTTCTTATTTGCAAGATTGTTTTAACGAGCTGAAAAACCATTTTCCGGTCAGTTGAATAGAAAGTAGAACACCTGTAACACTTTGAAATTTTGCTCGTTTCATTTAAATGAACAAATAATGCCACATTGGTAATCACTTTTTATTTATCGTTAAGCGTTGACATGTGCGGTGATTTTTTTAGAGAGATGTACTCAACCCTTCTTTATCTGATCCCGTTTCAATTCATAAAAAATTGAGCTGTCATTAATGGAATAGGTGTAAAATAGTCTGTCGATGTATTACCAGTGATACTACCCTAGTCAAAATCCTAGACAATCCTACCAGGATCTTAATAGGATCCTAATTGAATCCGGGTGATCGGAAAGTTCTAGGATTTTATTAGGATTTTGACTAGGGTAAGACCTTCTCAGTTAGGTCTATAATAGTAAAGGCAAATAATGGACTTTTAATGATCTTAAAACTGTCAGAAAATAGCCCATTAATGGTCACCATTTACTGTTTGCTTTTAAAACGTTCGAGATGTCCTATAAACAGCCATTTAACTATACATCATACTCGAGACTTCATTCACATCACCGTTAAACTGTCTAGTTTTAATTGTTTTGTGATCAGTAGCGAAGGGGAGCATCATGACAAAATAAATTCCGATCGGTCTGTTGTAATTCCACTATTCCTTCATTTCTCTATTCCGCTACTATTTCGAACAATTGTTATTTTAACGAAATGACAAGAGACAATTTATTTTAACGATTTCTTGTATTAAACATTAATTTTTTACACTTTAACTCGAGTACATCAAATATGACGCTTATATGATTCTTTCTTCTGATAGGTTTTGTTTCGTTCGAATTTACTTTATTCTGCACACTCATATTGTATATGTATGAAACATCTTGTCTTTGAAAACAACATATGCGAAAAGAACAAGTTATTTACATTTATTTTAAAATAAATATAAATAACTTGTTCTTTTCTCATATATTATTTCCAAAGACAAGATGTTTCATGCACATACAATATGAGTGTGCAGAAAAAAGTAAATTCGAACGAAACAAAATAAGATCAGAAGAAAGAAACATATAAGCGCCATATTTGATGTACTCGAGTTAAAGTGTAAAAAAATAATGTTTAATATAAGAAATCGTTAAAATAAATTGTCTGCAATAAAGATTAAACAAGCGCGCCGATATAATAGAGGAATAACAATTGTTCGGAATAGTAGCGGAATTACAACAGACCGATCAGAATTTATTTTGACGTGCTCCCTAAATTACACCAAAAAAACAGACATTTTGCTTTTACTACTATTCTATATGTAACACTAATATTTTTCGAAATAATACAGTTCCCTTGTTTGATTAGTGAGATCATCGAAGCTTATCTCAAGAAAGTTATACTTTACCCTAAAACTGATACTATGGATAGCATAACGATCTTAGATAACCAAAAAACTTTAAAAATGCTTTGGAAATTAGCATTCTGTAGTATTTAAAAATAATCAGCCTAAGAAAATATTCCAAAAATAGACTATTAATGGTAAAGAACGGTGTAAAAAAAATCGCTTTGTTGGTGTGATCGTAACAATCTGTCTGTTTTCAGGTCTAAAAACGGTCAAATAATTGAGTAACATGATGTATACTCACACACTATAAAGCTCGTTTTATCTATAGTGCTTCAAGTATACAACAAACAGTATACGGTTTTGAAGTGATATAAAGTAAAGTGAGAATTACACTATACTAGATGCTGATACTTATCAATTTTTCTGCGATAAAAGATATGCTTTATTTTGCGTAGATCGCCACCAGTATCAAGATAATGTTTTAATGCTTTTGTATGATGTTAATAACTGATGGGAAGAAACAGAAAAAAAGGCAGTTTTCTTCTTCTCATATTTTGGCATCGCGTTTTTTTATGCTATTTAGTCCAGTTTTATGCATGGTTATTGTATCTGTGTACTTCATATTTTTTAGCGAAAATTTGTTCTCTTTTTGTTGAGTCATAACCATTTAATACCTTCGTATACGCCTCGTGTTTGAGGAAGAACACGCAAGAAAAAAGGCAAAAATAAGCTAACATCCAACAACTGATCTGATGTATAGAAATAGGTGAAAAGAAAGATTGTGCCTCCCATGTGACCACGTTCTTCTCTTCTTACGTCTACTTAGAAGATATCGTCTTATCACAAAATGACGTGAATCATCCAAAATTTTTCTCTTTTTCTGAGATCTCCATTAACCGCAACGAGATCAATTCGAAGGTGGTAAAAACATCCACCACATTTCTTCAGCGACGACAGGTGAAACTATAATAAATTTTTTTAAGTCCAAAAAGATCTATTATTCAATTTTATACACCCCTTCTAATCTACATTATCTGAATAAATATAAATTCTGTCCCTTTACTGAGCAGTACCAAAACATAAACTTTTCTTTAAGTTTCTTTAAATAGTAACTAATAAACTTTACATATAAAATAGAAAAAAAATGTGAAATTATTTAGCCCTTAAAACAGAAAGAGTGTAAATAAACTAATTTCACTATTAATTAATTGACAGATAGCTCCCTTCTAGCCACTGACATGTTTTTCTAAGAATTATTGTTAACTCTTCGAACAAGTAATTAAACAATGTTCATTTAAACACGACTGGTTGATCCCGACTGTATACAAAGAATTTATTTAGATGACTTAGGTGGCTTCGGTGGTTGTGGATGACCTGGAGAATAACCTGGTGAACGATAACCATATCCAGTACCATACCGACCTGAGCCACTACTACTAACACTGCTAACACCGCTAACACCACCACCATTAATACTACTTTGTAAAATTGTCAAAGGCGTCTCAACGGAATAATAGGCTGATGACGCTGGAGGAGGAGGAGGATCAGAAGACAGGGTAAAAAACGAAGGATCTGGCGATGGAATAAGATTCAAAAATGTTGTATCGATATCTGAATTCCATGTGATGCCATGTTGTCGGTTTTGCCTCGCTCTGTCCAATGCTTCTTTCAAACCATTTTGTCCATCTAACAATTGTTCATAACGTC